CTCAGTCAGTTGGACATCCAACTCTTGATCTCAGCTCATGCCTTGATCTCAGGGTCGTGAGTTCAAGCCCCACATTGGGCTCTTTGCTGGGCATAGAACCTACTTAAAAAAAAAAAAAGTTTGTATTTTTAAAAAGATATTATTTTCATAGCAACTAAAAATATAAAATACTCAAAAATGAATCTCATAATTGTGTATAAGGCCTTAATAGAGAAAATTATAAGACCTTATTCAAAGGTATTTTAAAAGACCTCAATAAATGGAGCTATATACTTTCTCATGAATGGGAAGAATTAGTGTCATTTAAAAATAACAAAATTGGTTTTTCATTAAACATGACAGCCTGATTCTAAAATGTTCATGGAATTGCAAGGAGTTGGGGGAAGGGGATGACACTAGGCAGTTCTGAAGGAGAACCTGGCAGGAGGGTTTACCTTACATGATGGAGCCATATCAGAAAGCTGTCGTAATTAGGACAATGAGGTTTTAATAGAAATAGACAAACAGACTAATGAAGACACCAAAGAGAGTCCAGAAACATATCCACACATGTCTGCAGATGGGGCACATCACAGAGACCCACATGTCAGCTAGTTAAAAAAAAAAAAAAATGGCCCCACTGAAAAATGAGGCAGGGATAAGTTTTATTCTTATGGGAAAAATGAATTGTATCACACAAAAATCAACTACAGATGCATTGGAAACTTAAATGATAATTTCTGCTCATCAAAATACACCTTAGAGAGAGGGAAAAGAGAAGGTACAAAACAGAAACTGATATCTGTAACATATTTGACAAAGACCCCTGGGTCCAGAATATATCAAGAAATTCTGGGGGCGCCTCGGTGACTCAGTCGTTAAACGTCTGCCTTTGGCTCAGGTCATTATCCCAGGGTTCTGGGATCGAGCCCCACATCGGGCTTCCTGCTCAGTAGGAAGCCTGCTTCTCCCTCTCCCACTCCCCCTGCTTGTGTTCCTCCTCTCCCTGTGTCTCTCTCTGTCTCTCTCTGTCAAATAAATAGATAAAATCTTAAAATAAAATCTTAAGGTAAAATCTTAAAAAAAATTCTAAGAATTAGAGGTGCCTGGGTGGCTCAGTTGTTGGGCATCTGCCTTCGGGTCCTGGAATCAAGCCCCACATCGGGCTCCCTGCTCAGCGAAGAGCCTGCTTCTCCCTCTCCCTCTGCTGCTCCCCCTGCTTGTGCTCACTCTGTGTCTGTCTCTTGCTCTGTGTCAAATAAATAAATTAAATCTTAAAGAAAAAAAAATTCTAAGAATTAATAAGGAAAAGACAATTCAGTAGGAAAAAAATGGGGAAAAGACATGAAGAGGCATTCCCAAAAGAAGAACGCTGCACAGTGAATAAATCTTTGAAAAGAATGTAAATTGGTACAGCAACTTTGGAAATCAGCTTGGCATTATCTAACAAAGTTGAAAATGGGCATATATCCTGTGACCTCGCATGGAGCATGTACCCTCCCCTCCTGGTGTGCCCACTAAAGTTACTTTTGCCCATGTGCACCACAAGACGTATACAAGAATATTCTTAGCAATACTGTTTGTAGTGGAGGGCAGAGGAAATAAGCCTAATGCTTATCAACAAAAGAACAGTTAAATCATGTTCTAGTTCAAACAATGCAGCAGTGGAAAGCAGTGGATGAATCTCACAACGTTGAGTGTGAAAAAAATAACAGAAAAATACATACCATACCCTTGCATTTATACGAAGTTTGAAAGTATGCAAACCTATACGGTATATTGCTTGGTGGTGCGTAGGTATTGGTAAGTCTATCGGTAAAGGAAAGGATGAACACAAAACTCAGGGTAGTGATTGCCTCCGTGAAGGCGGGGGGATGCACTGATAGCTGTTGAGCACCTCTCACTTCTGAGGAGTTTGCCTGGAATAGTTTGACAGCCAGCCTACCGACCAACACTTTCGCCAGAGGAATATTTTTTCATAGAGTACTTCTGGGATGGGGCAGTGCAGAAAATGAGAAAACCTATTTGAAATGGGGGGTAAAAGCCTGACTAGAAGGAGGAGTGTTGTGGTTGGTGAGATCACCTCATCATCCCTGTGTCTTGTTCAGTGCAGTTATATCAATACCATTGGATTGAGTTCAAAAATATTTATTAAACCCCAGCCATGTGGTGGGCACTCTGTTAGGTAGTGGGATATAAAGATAAATAAAAAACGCCAAGATAAGTAGTGGGAGGGGTGAAACAAGGCAGCTGGTGAATTGGCAAAGGAATGTCCTGGGTGGGTTTCTGACAAGGAGTCCTTCGGTCCAGTTGGGACAAGTGGTGAGGTCGGAGAGGTTTTTGGGAGGAGCTTAGTCTTGAAAGAAGAGTTGCAGTTGGTCATAGGCGGAAGGGAGGACTCATTCCAAGTAGAAGGAGCTCCATCAACAGAGGTACATGGAATATGCTATTCTGGAGCCCAAACCTTGAGTTGGGGCCTAGAGAGAGAGAGAGGAGGCAGGAGTGCTGAGCAGGGTTCCACACCCTGCAGACACGGGAGACTTTAGGGTGCACTTAGGCAGGAAATGACAGGACCAGTGCCTTAGAATCTCCATCCCTGACAAGATGAGCAGAGAGGCTGGTTAGAACGCTGTGGCAGGGGGTCCAGGTGAAGTCGAGGAGGTAGGGAAGGATGGTAGAGATGGAGGGGAGGAGGTGGATCAAGAAATGTTCAGGACACAAGATTGGCAGGGTATGGTGTTGGCTGGCCGTAGGGATTGAAGAAGAGGAAGGCTGGGATGACAAAGCAGAGACAGCTAACACAGCTAGCTCTGTAAGACCAAACAGCATCCTCCACCCTTCCCGGGATCTGCCAGCATGGAATGAATCCAAGTTCGATTTCCTCTTGCCTTTCTAGTGATTTGTAACATTAATTTGCAGATGCAACACATGGCCCTCAGAACATTTATGGCACTGTGATTCTGTCACATTCATGCTAAAGCTCAGTAGCAGCATAACAAAAATATGTCTTTGTTACTAAAATACTCCTCCTTGAGAAAATTCAATTTCCAATTTAACGCTCCCAAGATTAGCTCATAGAAAAGGCATTAGATGATCACTATAATTGTAACATCGTGCCCAGAAGGCTGACCTGATTAGGTCTTGGGGTGTCCTTTGCTGCTTGTAATAAGTGCTTTTTGTAATTTGATCATTTAAACAAGTTTAATGTATTTTATTTGTAATTGTAGTGGGGTATTGTGTTTCATGCACATTGTATTTATTTAATGGAATGGGTTTTCAAAAGCAAGACAGAATATTTCTGATAAAGGCTTGATTCTCAATGATCTCCATCACTTTTGTGACCAGGATGCTAAATGTAGGTCACAAAGCTCATATTTAGGTTTGTCCCATCCCTTGGCTCAGAAGATTATACACTTCAGGACAGAGAAGATCCTGCAGTTTTCTAACTGGTCTGGTCAAGTACAGATCTACCTCCCCCACCAACACACACACAAACATTCTCACTCAAAGTAGCTGATAGGTGGGGAAAAAATGGAGTTGCCTCATTATTTGCTGCCCACTGATGCCTAAGATGTGGTTCGGCTGGGGGCCCCTGGGTGGCTCAGTTGGGTTAAGCGACTGCCTTTGGCTCAGGTCATGATCCTGGAGTCCTGGGATCGAGTTCCGCTTGGGCTCCCTGCTCCGCAGGGAGTCTCCTTCTCCCTCTGACCCTCCCCCCTCCCATGCTTTCTCTCTATCATTCTCTCTCTCTCAATTAAAAAAAAAAAATGGGTCAGCTGAGAAGATGCCTCAATAATGTTTAGTCAAACCACCAATTAACTCAGTTAAATAACCTGTTCAGTTTTTTTTTCCACTTCTGAATTAGTCTTTTTTTTTTTTTTTAAAGATTTTTTATTTATTTATTTGACAGAGAGAGACATAGCGAGAGCAGGACCACAAGCAGGGGGAGGGGGAGAGGGAGAAGCAGGCTTCCCGCTGAGCCGGGAGCCTGATGCGGGGCTCTATCCCAGGACGCTGGGATCATGACCTGAGCCGAAGGCAGACGCTTAACGACTGAGCCACCCAGGCGCCCCTGAATTAGTCTTTTAATAGAATTAGCCGCACAGTATTTTTAACCATTGCTTAAATAATAAGAGAAAAAGTTCAAATGAAACTCTTTTATGTAATAGTTATCCCCTAAGACTTACGAGTGCTTCTGAGCCTCAGTTATTGTCACCACTAAATCTTTAGTGCCAGCTAACCAGCAAGCCCCTAAAATAGCTTTAAAATTAGAGTTCTCCATGATGCTGTTCATAACCACCAAAGCCATCGCTTTCTCTCTCTCCTTCACAGCATTCCGCTACCGAGATTATAAACAGAAATGTTTCCATTTCGGGCATGCATCAGAGCTTTCGTTAAAAATGAAATGGAAGTCCCGCCTTTCTTATCCCCTGGTGACCAGCCCGCTGAGATGATCCCTCTGGCTGAGTCTTCACAGGGTGTGGGAATTTGTTCATCAGATTTCTCCATCTGACTCTCTCTGGCCAGCATCCCTAGCTCCCTGGCCAGCTCAAATCCAGAGTCTTAGTCAAAAGAAGCAGTGTGGTTCCCACGTCAGGCCAAATGCTAAGGTGCTCGTGAAGAACCAGCCACAGCTTCCATGTTTACATTGGTCCCGATGTCTCCCTGGTCCTAGGTTCAAATCCTGACTCCCCTACATACTAGCTCTAGGGCCCTGGGCAAATCACTTGAACTCTCTGAACTTCACTTGTCTTTTCGGGAAGAAAGGGATAATAATAGGGTTGCCGTGAAGGTAGAATTCGAGAGTTCACATAAAGCACAGTGGTGAACTGAGCAAACACACAGTAAATGTTAGCTAGTAGCATTAATAGTGAGCAGATTGAGACTTTTGCCTTTTGAAGTATTTTAACTTTTAAGGTTACACATATCAATCTATTATCAAAAATTAATGGAAAGCAGAATTCTCCATTTCAGAGGGATGCCACTTAAAAACATTTTTGTTAATGTTTTTCTTCTTTTAGGCCAATTGTATCTGAGAGAAATGAACTTCTCATTCAGTTTTTATCAGACTTAAGTTTAACTGCAGATGGGTTTATTGGTCACTATAAATTCAGGCCAAAAAAACTGCCTACAACTACAGCACCACCTGTTACCACCACATTCCCTGTAACCACAGGTGAGTCTTTTGTTTTGATGTTCGTGCACAAACTTCAGGAGTGTAAGAAAAATTCTTTTGAGGTAGGAAAAAAAAAAATTAAAACAAAAATACTTGAAACTAAAATAAGTTAAATAAGATGAAAACTTATCTAAGAGAATAATACGACTCCATTAATGAAAGAAAAGTATAAGGTGTAAAAAATGTTTATAAGCAAATAATTTTTGTCACCTAAGAAAATTATGACCACTTAAAAAATACTAGGAACCCTGGTATATAGGCACAGATCATTATAAGCCCAGTTTTTCTTTTCTGTACTTATAAAAATTATGGCTTTCTTTTTATTACATAGAATTGTAGTATTTTAGATTGAAGTTCTAGGGCCTTGATACTTGTCCATTTTCACATCTGCCAGGGTTTTGGGTTTTGTTTTTGTTTTGCTTCGCTCTGAAATGGGTTGTGCAAAATACATTTTTTTTTCTCCCAAATTGGGGTAAATCAAACAAAAATATTCAGTGTGTTGTAGAAGCCAGTTGGGAAACTCTGGTCTGGGGCATGACCTAAGAAATGGAGAGGCAAGAGTGGAGCCCCATGCCGAGTCTCTACATCCTGTCAGCTTCACCCACTGAGAGTTCAGGCATCAGATCTCAAAATCTAAATCTGGGAGAATTTAGAAAAAAGTGGGAATGAAGGATCTGAAGTTAAGATACAAGATAGGTTGAAAATGAGCCCCGCTTTATTGCCCACCATTTTCTGCTTGCACCCAAAGTAGGCCTGACCTGAGTGCAGGCACTTCCAGAAAGGGCTGATTTTTCTGAGCACTCCACAAGTATGCCACCTTGTGGCCTAGACATGTACCTCCTAATATTAAAGCAGTATTTCTTATTTCTCCAGCTCCTCTCAGGGGACACTGATGTCCTTATTCTTTCCAGTGAATTAACTGGCTCCCTAGATTTTTATCTTCAGTCCTAAACTTTCTCTGAAATTGCAAACATCGATTTATAATTATCTCCTAAGGTTCTGTGACTGCTAACCACTTAAATTAAAACATATCAAACTCAACTCATTTTTATCACACTATTTTCTGCCTTAAATCTGCTTCTTCACTGCTTTCCCAAGCATGGTCCACAGCAGTAGTAGATCATCCTTGAGCTCCCCTATCTTACCTCCCCACGGTACGCCCCGCTCCACACACACAAAGCAGACCATGTCTCCCACTTGAATTCATGGTCCACACTTGTGCTATCCAATACCGTAGCCACTAGGGGACCCTTGAAATGTGGCTAGTGACGTGGAGGACTTGAATTTTAATTTAATTAAATGTAAGAAGCCTCTTGTGGCTAGTGGCTACCAGAATGGGCAGCACGGGAGTCAGACTCCTTCATGCCATGTATAAGACCCTTCACGTGTTGTACTAGCCTCTCTTTCTAGCTCCGTCTTTAGGTCCTACCACCTCTCTCCTTATGCTTCTAAGTATTTTAGAGTATTAGGATTTTATCCTAAGTGTGGGGGAAACTGTCGATGGATTTAGGCAAAGTTCAGGATTAGATTCTCACTTCGTGGAGGTCACTCTGGTCACTGTGAGGTGAATGGATGGTAGGGTCAAGAGGTCACAGGCGCTTGTGGTTGTCCAGGTGAACTGTGCAATGACAGAAATACAGAGAGAGTCAAGAAATGATGACTATAGTGCAAGCCAGGGGCCTTGGGAGATACTGACAGGTCTTTCATTGGTGATTAATTGGACTAGGGAGATCAGGGGGGTGCTTGGCTTGCACAGCTCTGGGGATGATGAGACCATTCACCGAAGCAGAGAACCGGGTCTAGGGGTAGAGTCATTAGTTAAGCTGTGGCTTGTTGGGTTTGAGGTGTCTGTGAGACACTCAAGTGGACTAGTCAAGTCCAGTTTGATCCATGGCCTCCTCCAGAAGAGATTTCAGCAAGAGATTTACATTTGAGAATCATCAACATATACCTGGTTGACGCCGTGATCCAGAATGAGGTCACCTAAGGAGGGGTTAGGGGAGAAAGGAGAAGGGCTGGAATTCAATCTCTAGAAACTCCAACTTTTTAAAAAGGAGGATATACTAGCAAAGGAGACTGAAAAGATAAGAGCTTGAAGGAGAGACAGCTACATTGGATGTTAGGATGTCTAAATTTGAGAGCTTCGTGATGAAGGACGAGCAGGAAGACATGTGAGTCTGGGACTGAGTGATGGAGACAGGGCAGAGGGAACGTCTGGGAAGGATGGAGCCACGGCACTGAGAGTGGTGGGGGGACCCGCCGAGATGGGCGCAGGTGCATCTGGAGAGGAAGGGCCCGGGACCACCTGCCATGCAGGGAGTGCAGGGAGAGAGCAGACAGTGAGGTGAGAAGGTTCAGGGTGCTCTAATGATGACCTAAAACCAAAAGAGCAGGGATCTACCGATGGGAGGGAAGGACCAGGGTGGGACACGCACCCAGTTTCCAGACTGATGTTCCGAGGTTGAGAAGAGCCGTTTCCAGTGTCCACGGAAAGCATGCTCTTTCATCAGACGTGGAGAACCACTAATGCCGCTACTTTTTGACTCAGTTCATTAGGTAAAGTTAGGTCCCCAACTTCTGGAACCATGTTCCCTCTAAATGTTCTCTGAGCTCTTTGTCTTAAAAAAAAAAAAATTATACACACACACAGATGCTATTATATGTATTTTAACATTAAATTGTACGTATTTTAATATTGTGATCCACTTGAGATCCTTTTTTGGAGTTAAGTATGGGTACAAATTAAGACTAAATAAATAAATTCACAGAAGAGTTCACAAAACATATCAGAAGGGCAGTGTTACAATTGCAAAATCTTGCCCGGGGAGTACAATTCTGTTCCAGTTGTTGTTTGGTTCTTCCTAGCATATTGCCACATATAAGTGAATAATTAGCAAATATTTTGGAAACTTTTTTTTATTGATGATAATGGGAATTAAATATTTTCATTTCGTTAACCCCCCGTTTCTCAACGTTGGCAGCATTTACATTTTGGGCCAGCTAATGCTTTGCTGTGGGGAGCTGTTTCTTGTAGGATGTTTGGCAGCATGCCCGGTATCTACCCACTAGATGGCAGTAGCGGCCCTTGCCGTGACAGCCACAGCTATTTGCGGGCCGGGCAAAATGTCACCCGAGGGCGAAAATCACCTTTGCTGACGAACACCTTTGCTGTGTTTACCTATTTCATTTTATTTTTAAATTAGTCAACTTCTCAGTTCTTAAGATCCTTATAGGCAATGATAGGCTCAAAATAAATGTTTAGTGATCGGTTACAGCTATTTACAGGTATAACACACTTTACGCATGAGCAGTGTTTCTCCAAACGTATACCACTCACATTTGGGCAGCTGTGTATTTTAAATGCACCCAGACAGCTCCCTCTATCCTCAGGGGGAGCACCGTCGGATGCCTTTTGTAAAGTGAAGAATTAACCTATATTTTCTGAGTTCTTATTTGTTGTACTGGGTTCTTCTAAGCAGGGCGCATGGAGACTGCATCTGTTTTTGGTGAGTGTTAGTTATATATAAGGGAAGAAGAGAATAGGGCTAAATTTGGGTTATCTTTGATCGCAGGTTTAAAATTCAGCAGAGGGTATTGAGTTACCCTGAGGAAATTAGAGCAGTAGTTGGTAGCTTAAAGAATTTGTTTTGAATGTTTTCGAATGATTTCATTGCAATGACAGCTTGGTGGCTCAGGGAAATAAATAGGAATTTTAAATAGATGGATTCAGGTCTAAACACCAATCACGCTTGAATTCATTTTCCTGAATCTTATGTCTTTCTTCTTTGAATTTAGGTTTAAAACCCACAGTGGCCCTGTGTCAACAAAAGTGTAGACGGACGGGGACTCTGGAGAGCAATTATTGTTCAAGTAACTTTGGTAAGAAATAAAACCCCGCCTTTTCTCTTTAATCAGAAACTTGAGACTGCATGCTTAATCTCAAAGGAACCGCCACGAATGTGATGGTAAAGTGTCAGTTACACTCTTCATTTACCCAAGAAAAGATTTTCCTATACCCTAAGGTACGTTGACTAGTGCTGTTCAGAGTGTTAGAGTTCACAACTGAGAATAATATGTATACAGAAAATATGCTTTTTTTCACATAAACTTATCAGTTTGACTCCTGGAGTATGATACTGCTGCTTTGTGTATTCTGGCTGGCTCAGTGTTCTTGAAAAACCCTGTACCCTTTTTCTCACATATTTTTCATGTCCTGGGTATTTTTTCACACATCTGTAATTCCACTTAAGTAAATTAGAAACCAATCCAAGCTGGCCTTTCTCAGAAGAAATTCAAGTATTTCCTCTGTCGTGTCCTTCCAAAGTACTAAATTAAAACTTGGGAACCTGAAATCTATTTGGAAATGCTTATAAATTGAAACCTGAGGAGATACTACCTAATGACTTAGAATTTCTAAGAGCTTTCTCCAATTTAAAAAAAAAAAAAAAAAAAAGGCACTTTCTGTAAAAATCACTAAAGAGCAAGAGATACCAAATTTAATTACGTGGGCTATTTTTAAAAGGGACATTGAAGAAAAGTCTTGTCAGGAAAAGAAAGTTGCTAAAACCTAAATACGTTACCCAGAATGAAGGGTCTCCCAGAAAAGGCTTGGCTTACTTTTTCTGTGCCTGAAGGTGGTGACTCTCTGCAGCCCAAACGAACTATGTCGTAGCAAAGGTGTGAAGACACTGAAGAATCTAGGGCCCTAAACCTTACTGGAGTTTGTGTGCTGAAATTCAAATAAAAGGCATAAAAATGAAAACAAATTACTATCACATCCAGGTTAGTCTTTGGTGGGAGGTGCTTAAGGAAATCTCCCTCCATGTCCTTTGGAGCCACCTGATTTCCCTTGGCTCTAGACTAACATTTTGCAGTGAACACTTACCACCAGGAATCAAAGTAAGGCATGGTAAGAATTCTGATTTTATGGATTTTGCCTGCTGCATAAGCAGTGACTTCTCACTTTATCCTGAAGGGTCGGGTCAGCCAAGTCCAAAACTTGATTTATTCCATTGTGACTCTCTTACATGGCAAAATGACCAAATACTATCCCCAGTGGCCCACTGGTTCTCAGCCTGCATTGGTAACAGGGATAAGGCTCATAAAACATTCTCCCAATCCAAGTCCTGCACCACACAGAATTGTCACCCACAAAACACCAAAAGCATGTCTTTGAGAAATATAGCATCCAGCCTTCCATGGCTCCGAAGTGAGACTCTTAACCTCTTGCATCACGATGGAAGAAAGAGAGGGTTACATAATGAAAAGCAACTGAGTTTTGCTAGGGTTTTTTGGGGTTTGTTTTTTTTTTAAAGCAAGAAAACATTACTTTGTTAAATGAGATATACAAGGTGGATAAGAAAGACCCAGAAAAACACAGATATTTACTGATAATTAGAGATGGGGACCCATGGGATGAACCCGAGTTGAAGGAGAGAGGACAGCTAAAGAGCAAGGGGGAAAGACACAGAAAGGTAGGCACTCACCACACAGACAGGAAGACTCAGATCTTCATGGCTCAAACCCCTGTCATGCAACCCGAACTGTCTCTAAAAACTCAAGGTCTTATTGCGTATTCATAGGTGGAGGCTCATAAGCCTCTCCCTTACTTGGTAAATGGTCCCCATGTTGGATAAAACATTGTAAAGAGTTCCCACCTCAGCAACAGACTGCAGGGCAGGAGACATTTAGGTTTCTGTCCTGGGTATCAACACCTAGTAACCTGGGTAACATTATGGCTCCATGGCCTCTTTCTTTCCAACCTGAATTCTGGGGACAAATGTGCAGAATCAAATCTGACAGCTCTGTTATGGCCTTCTCTTGAATATGAAAATGTTACCCATCTGAAACTTAGAAGAACATACAATTATTTTCAGTTCTGCCTGCGTTTGCCTTCGGGGCCATATTATTTCCACATGTTTTCTTCGGCAGTATTGGCCGGCACCGTGATCACAACTGTCACCCGAGGTGGAAGCTTGCATGCCACCGTCTCGATCATCAACATCTACAAAGAGGGAAATCTGGCAATTCAGCAGGCTGGCAAGAACATGAGTGCCAAGGTCACTGTGGTCTGCAAGCAGTGCCCTCTCCTCAGGAGAGGTAAGTATGGAGGAAAACATTGGTCTTTCTTCTAGGGGAGATCGAGGACAGAGAAGGGAACGAGAGAGAGTCCAAGCAAGTCTCGGATCTTTCCATGCCCTGGTTGAGCAAGGGAAGTGAGATCAGGCTTAATCTGTTGCCCACTTCTGGTGTAGAAGGCAGGCCTTTGGAGTCAGGCAGAATGGGGCTCTGGTTCCAGTTCTTGTAACTTGTGGCAGAAGATGAGAGAGTGGAAATGATGAAAGATCCAAGAAGCATCTGAAGCTGGATCAACAAGGAACAGACACAGAAGGAGCAGTTTGGGGGGAAAGAGATTTTCAGCTATTGCACTTAAGGGGCCCATGCAAGTTTAGAGGAAGATATCCAGCAAGGAGCAGGGAATTCGGAGCTGAAGTTCAGAAGAGAGAGGTATATATGGGCTACAATTAAAGATTTGGGAATCATTTGCAGATATAGAATCATCAAATCCACACATGGAAATCAGTTTAAGAGAAATTATGGAAAAGGGAAAGTTAAAAAAAGGAAAAAGTCCAGAGCCAGAGGTGCAGGATTTTTTTTTTTTCATAAGTTCTTTAACTTATAAAAGTAATGTATGTTTATGGTTTTTGAAAAGTTTAAGGAAGTAAAGAAGGAAATAAAATAAAAAGTGAAGCCCTTTCCCTTTCCCCAGAGATACCATGAAAAGTTCCTTCTAGAAAGTTTCTATCTATAGAAAGCACACGTGTACACAGTTAGACAAATGAGATTGTGCTCTAATAGGTCTGCAACTTTCCCCACATGATGTGTGTAGACATCTTTCCACAAAAGGCACATATAGATAGATCTCTCTCTCTCTCTGGAATGGTAATAATGCCTGGTATTCCATTGGGTGATATACCATGATTTCTCTGTCCAATCCCAGCTCCTTCCTTTCCTCAGTCTTATTACAAACCTCTCCCACAACCAAACCAAAGCATACACACACACACACACACACACGAGAGATAGAGAGAGAGAGAGAGGGAGAGCCTAGAGGCTAGCAGCTTCACGTTGAGTCTTCAGAGGGGATAGCAAAGGCTCTGTAAGAGCTAACACTTCTCCCCCGCACTGCCAGGAGAAGCAGGTAACGTCCGTGGAGAAACTTAACTGCACGGTCTCACCACAATGCCGGCAGCCCAGCCTTGAGGAGGCGCCCACCTGCACAGCCCTCCAAGCTTGCAGAGGCTCAAGGTCACTATGAGGACAGTGGTAGCCCACAGAGGAAGGGTCATGCCAGAGGAAAGGACACACATATTTCTCTTATGACACACAGGAGAGAGGGAGAATAAGAGACGGTAATACACACCTCCTTTATGACATTTTTCTCAGACAGTGTAGATCTTCAGAGTTGAATCCAAAATAGCTTGGGCCCCAGTCTAGGCCTAACTTAGCCGGACACACTGTTATACAAAAGAGTGTGTCTCTGACAGAAGTACTTCTTAGTACCTATTTGTTGCAAGGAACTGTGAGAATGCAAATAGATGACGCACCCATGTCCTCAAGAAACTACCGTAGTATAAATGCTCAAGATGTTGAAAACAGTTCAAGTCGACCACAGCAGCCGAAGACAGTGGATCGTTAGTTGCCAAATGCCTGGGAATCCAGAAGCACTAGGGGACGATGAGAGGCCATCTGGGGATGACGTGTCCGGGAGCACAGAGGCCCCTTGAGGAAGGACAGCCTTCCACATGAACGCAGTGCATTGTGCACGGCAGGTGCTCAGTCAATCCCCCAGGCCTACAGCACTGCAGAGCAGGGCGTGACCAGATCTCCTCACTCCATCCATCTTCCTAGTGGTGGCAGAGATGGGACATGTAACTTAGTTGAATTCAGATTTTTTTCTAATGAGAGGCTTAAACCGGACTTTATCCTGGATAGACAAAATGTATAGTTATACCATTTACAGATCATTTATCTAGAGGTAAGTTACAGTCTAAGTTGTATCAAAACAGTAGACATAGAGGGGCTCCTGGGTGGCTCAGTTGGTGAAGCGTCTGCCTTCGGCTCAGGCCATGATCCCAGGGTCCTGGGATCGAGCCCCATGTCGGGCTCCCTGCTCGGTGGGGAGACTGCTTCTCCCTCTCCCACTCCCCCTCCCTCCCGCTCATGTGCGCTCTCTCAAATAAATAAAATCTTTAAAAATAATATTAAAAGGATAATACACATAGAGAAAAAATTAATTTATATTCTCTTTTTTTTAGGTCTAAATTACATTATTATGGGCCAGGTGGGTGAAGACGGGCGAGGCAAAATCATGCCAGACAGCTTTATCATGATGTTCAAGACCAAGAATCAGAAGCTTCTGGATGCCTTGAAAGACAAGCAATGTTAATAGTGAACTGTGTCAATTTAAGTTGCATTCTGTCATTGCCTTTGAAAGATCTATATTTTTCTCTGTAGAAAAAAAAATCTTATATTAATTATTGAGCATTCAGAAAGATTTACTCTTCACATGATGTAGGTATGAGACCTCCGATATCACTGGTGGAAGTTCTGTGTCTGCACTGAGAGGAACAGATGCGTGATTGAAAACCTGCAGACTTAGTGCAGTGACAGGAAACTGAATGTATCAAGCGTTCTCAGTGTGGAAGCAGTTTATTTATACATCTCTGTAAAAGGGTATTTTAGAAATAAGTTGTGTGAAGATGTAAAAAAGAGATTTTATAAGTGCAATATTTATAGTGATACTTGTTTTACCTTCAAGCATTTGCTCTGAGGTGTTATATTCTTCTCTTGCATTTTTTTAAGTCAGTGCTTAATAAAATATTTTTAAATGACTACATAGCAGCCATTAAACTTGTTTTTATAGAAAATGGAACACTGTAAAAAGGAACTTCCCTGCTTTTTTACATATCAGTTTGGCATCAATTTACACTTTGCTGAAAGAGTTAGCATTCCAAGAACTTCAGGGACGGGATGGATCCAGTAATGTAAGTAGACTATAATTCTCTGGAGAATCAGAGAACGTTAGTGTTAGAATGGCATCCCTCAGGGATCTAGTTCACCTCCTTCATTTTGTAACAGAAATTGAAGCTCGGGTCTATTTAGTGACTCATCTAGAGCACACATCTCCCAAGAGACCCAGCTGGCACTCAAGCTCAGAAGTCCTGGCTCCTACCCAGTGCCCTCCCTGCCACCAGAAGAGGCCCTCCCTGCCCCAGAGGAAAACCCTCTTAGCCTGACTTTGCAGCGTTGGCTCTTTGTTTCCTTTGCTGCCTAAATCACCATGGGTTGTTTTATAGGACTTGAAATTAGAGGTGAGTCTGATGCCCCGGTCCTGTTCCTCCCCACTTAACTGGATCAGGCTGCATCAGCTAGGATGCTTTCTGCTGTGGCCTTTGAGGAATCAGTTTTCACTCAGTGGTGGAGGAACTGTGAAGGAACTCCCCGCCTCTGCACACAGCTGTTGAACCTGCAAAGGCTGTGGCAACCAGCCCTCAGGAGTTTGCCGGCCAGCAGCTGTGGAAGAGGGGGCAACCATCCCTGTCTGAGGACGGGTGGGGGGGGGGAAGCACATCAGGGACGAACAAAGACTTGGGTCACAAGGTCTCTCATGGTAGAACCAAAGGTTTAGAAATAAGGAAAAGTTTCTTTTGGGTAAACACAATAATTCCCAGCCCTAGAAGTGACCATTCAAAAGGCAAAAAAAAAAAGAATTTCGAAAGGAAGAATCCCTCTGTTTTGGCAGCTGACTGAGCACAAGCAAGCCATGAATGTGGCCTGGTTGTGGGGTCAGGAATCATTCCTAACCTCTCCCACTGGGCTGCCCCCATCAGTCCCAGAGAATTCAGCAGCTGAGAAGGTGGATGAACGGCAGGAGTTGGTGGTTGACTTCCCTGGCCAGTGCCACCTTTTAGAAAGGTCCCCCACAAGGCACAGCTGTGCCCAGCCAGGATGCAACTGTGGAATCCTGATTGATTCTAACCTTCAAGGCAGGGGAGTTCCTTTCAAGAACGCATGTTATGAGACTTTGCAATGATTACCAAAGATTTCAGTATTTGGGGGGCACCTGGCTGGCTCAGCCAGTAGAGCGCGGGACTCTTGATCTCTCGAACGGGAGTTCGAGATGACTCGTCTGGAGTGTGTGTGGTGTGGGGTGTGTGGTGTGGGGATTACTTAAAAAAAAAAAAAAAAGATTGTTGTATTTCTTCTCCTTCTCTTCTAATTGGTGCATTACCAGCAGAAAGACTGCCATTTGTGCTGGGTGGGTGCCTGAGTCACAGTGAGGTAAAAATTGGGAAAAGGACTCCAAACTATTTATACCATTGACATCTCTGACACAAGACTTTGAACTGTTGAGGGAATCAGTGGTTAATAACGAATGGCACTGGTTTGTCTTTTAATTCAATTATTCAAAACAGAGATAAGCTGAATAGTGACCTTGCTCTTTTGGTCCAACAACCATTTCTTAATTTCTTTCTTGTTTAATAAATCACTTATTTTGACTGAACTTGAGTTTCCTTAGTTATAAATTGAAGGAGTTAGACTAGATGACTTCTGGGAATTATTTCTCTTTTAGGAACTTTTTTTTTAATTTTATTTTTTCAAAGTGTAATTGACTAAGTTTTGTTTTTGTTTTTAGTACTTGTACTTGGGGACTCAAATACACATGATGAACAAATGGGTGACCATACTAATACATCATAAAACATTTCCAGACTCTCTGATGTGTTTCAGGGGGTCCTGTTAGCTTAATTTTCATCCTTTGAATTCAATTCCTATAATAAAAATATATGAATTTTGCAAAGTTTCCAAATCTTGAATTCTGTTATATAACTTATTTAGTCAAAGGTTAACCTTAGTTGAAGAAATTTACCTTCTTTTTTTTCTTTCCGTAGGAAAGGGCAGCCAGGCTCCCACTATATCTTCTGGACTGCTTTAGTGAAAGAAACTAATAACAAAAATCTTCTTTAAAGAAGAGCCTTATAATAAAACAGCTGAAGGGGGGCGCCTGGGTGGTGCAGTCAGCTGAGCGTCGGACTCTTGATTTCGGCTCAGGTCGTGGTCTCAGGGTCGTGGGATCAAGCCTGGTGTAGGGGCTCCATGCTCAGTGCAGAGTCTGCTTGGGATTCTCTCTCCCTCTCCCCCTGCCCCTCCCCCTACACTTGCTGGAGCGCTGTCAAATAAATAAATAAATAAATAAAATTTAAAAACAGCTACTGATGAGTAATTCTAACGTGAGTTAAGTAATATTAAGCAGAAATTCCTTTGGCTTGAATTCATGGATATATTTATATAAGTGCAAACAAACAAATTTGCAGAAAAAAAAGTAAATTCGAGTGGAAAACATTTAAAGAAGGTGGGGGAGAGGGGAGCTTGCCCTAAATGTTCTAAGTTCCTTTAATTAGAGAGAGAAGGATAAAAATTTAATTTAGAACTTTGATAACTTAAGCCTTTACATTAAAATATCTAGGGTAACTATAAAAGGATACAGAGTTTGAAATTTTACTTTTTATTTTATTTTTTTAAAATATTTATTTATTTGACAGAGAGAGACACAGCGAGAGAGGGAACACAAGCAGGGGGAGTGGGAGAGGGAGAAGCAGGCTTCCTGCTGAGCGGGGTACCTGATGCGGGGCTCGATCCCAGGACCCCGGGATCATGACCTGAGCCCAAGGCAGACACGCCCAAAGACTGAGCCACCCAGGTGCCCCCAGAGTTTGAAATTTTAAAACTAGCAGAGAAGGTAAATAGATTTGAAAACTTAGATGAAATGGACAAACTGCTAAACTGTACTTACCAATTCAGACTCAAGTAGAAACAGAATACTTAAATAGTCTTGTAACCATTAAAGAAATTCAAACAGTAATTAAAACTCTTTCTTCAAATAAAATTCCAGGTCCAGATAGTTTGACTTAGGAGGTCTACCAAATATCGAAGGGACAAATACTACCAATCTAACACATACTATTCTAGAATATAAATAAAGAAGTAACATTCAGCAATTCTTTTTGTGAGATTAGTGGAATCTTAATACCAAAATTTCAGCAAACATAGGATCCAGTCTGATCTCACTTATGAACATAGGTACAAAAACAAAATAATTATCAGACAAAATCCGACAAACAAAATAAGTCACGATCAAGTTGGATTTATCCCAGAAATGCATGATTGATTTAACATCAAGAAATCAATGTTCATACTTCACTGCATTCCTAGATTTGCAATGCCAGCTAGGCAGTTGTAGGCGCAACTAAACATACCACAGGCCTCTCTCATTACCCATAATATCCCCAGAGCTATAGAACAAGGACCAGAGCTTAACAGGATAGGGCCAGACTGGGAGCAGTGCACACAGCCATCCATGAGCTGTTTTCTTTGGCCTTCCTAGATAATGTCTCAGATGCCAGGGGCCTCGATTCATGTCAGGTGGGTGCAGACACTCCACCTTAAAGTTCCCATTTCCTCAGAAACCAGATCTCTCGTATGAACTCCATAGGCATAGTAGCTTCCAGGCTCCTCCTAGATGACATGCCTCATTATAAGAGTTACACACTCAGGAAAACCCAAAGCTGTGGCTCCCCTATCAGGTATTTAGAGTTCCATTATAGTTACTCCCAATCCAATGCAATTTACCAGTCAGGGTTCATTTACACCACAAGCAAGTTTGCCTAGCAACATAGTACACATACTGTAGTATCAGATTACTAGGTAAATGAAGCTGGAGTCAAACAAAGGTCGTGGACTCAACAGAATGGGGAAAGTTTCTGTTAAGCCCTATTCGCAATACATGTAAGGAGAAAAATCATTTGATCTTAATAATGCAGAAAAGCATTTGATATAATCCAACATTTATTCATGACAAAATAAACCTTGAGGAAACTAAAAATAGAAAAGAGCTTCCTTAAGCTGACAAAAAAACCTGCAGCAAATGGTGACATACTGAAAGCATTTTAATGTCATGGATAAGACAAAAATGCCTGAAGTCAACATTTCTATTAAAAATTGCACTGGTGGGTCTAGTTAATGTATTAAGGAAAGAAAAAGAAATAAATGATATTGGACAGGAAGAAATGACTGTTACAATGCAAAGATGACATGATAATTCAACTAGAAAAGCCAAAAAACCTGCAGGTGAGTTGTTAGAATTAATAGAGTTTTACAAATTTGTTGCTTAGATGTATCTATAAGCCCTACTCCAAGGACAAAATATTGATTTTTAAAAATCTTTTTATAATTAAGCATCTTGAATTAAATATGTGAGGACCATGATTCACACACTAACAGCCTCTTTTTAACATAGAGCCTAAGGAAGTACAAGTGTGGGAGTATACATGGATGTACAGAATTGGGTATTCGAAGTAGCTCTGGGATGTACACAGAAGTTTGTTCTGGATAATTTTGATGTTGTTATTTAAAATCCTCACTTTTAAGTCATGGGGATGAAAGGTACAGCTTGGGGAATATAATCAACGGTACTGTAAGAGTGTTGTATGGTGACAGATGGTAGCTACACTTGGGGTGAGCACAGCATAATGAATAAACTTCTTTAATCACTATGTTGTACACCAGAAACTAATGTAACATTGTGTGTCAGTTATTCTTCAATTAAAAACATTTTAAAAACTAGACTTCTACTTTGTTTTTGTAATTTGCTTCTTCCTCTAAAAAACAAAGTCAGCAATTAGGTTTAAAAAGGCTAAAATTTGATTATAAATTTGAAATGTTATCTTTTGCTGGAAAGATATCCCCGTGGGATTCTGATACTAAGATTAGGTTACATTTAAACAGTGAGCTAGGGCTTTTGAGTACAGAAATCTATTAAGAAAATTTATAAACTTAAAGATTTCATACAGCTGGTTAATTTATCTTACAAACAAGAAATTAATAATAACAGTGACATAATGTAATTAAGAGCCTCCTGGATGAGGCAGACAAAGACTTGGATTCTTCTTCACGGTGTAGCAGTGGGAGAACTTCAGTTTCCTTTTCTGTAAAATGAGAAAGGTAAATTGGATCCTTTCTGAGATCCCTTATAGGTCTTAAATTGTTTCCAGATCCTTGAATAACAAGATTGATCAGGATATAAAGTGGCACAGAAATAAAATCAACCAGTGCCTCCTTTCTAAGCCCTTGGTCTCTCCATGCCCTGGCTTGTTATCTTTTTGAGACTGACTCCTGGTTTTCTGTTTATGTTTACTACCTCACTGTCCCTCTTATCCCTCTTATTCTTACTCATCTCACTGGTCTCTGTTTCTGTCCTCACTCATAAATTAAGTCTTTAAAAACTATTCATTTGGAAAAGCAGGGACTAGGCATCTTAAGTTCTGGTCTCTGACCAAAATGAACCTACAATGAGAAATTAATTCAAAAAAGGAAAGCTTTGGAATGTATCTTACCTGATACAATAAATTGAGTTCAGGCTCTCAAATCTGTCATGATTCAATCTTGGACAAATTACTTAAAATGTCATTTTCTCACCTATAAAATGAGAAGGTTGAAATAGGTGATCTAAGTTTTCTTCCAATCTAAATGATGAAATAGTTTCGAGAGCATAAAACTGTTAGATTAAGTGTCTGACTGGACATCAGTCCTAGGATAGCTACACACATAGATAATGCTAAATTTTCATTCAGCGGATTTGTGCCATTCACCATCAACACTGAGAGAAATGTTTCTGCCTGGTTTTAGAACTTAAAAAAAAAAAGAAAGCCTCTGCATTAAAACAATCATTATAGAAAATGCAGTGATTATTTGCTATTTCCACTGAAATATTAAATGGGGGGGGATGAGTTTTAAAATATTTAAAATTTTAAATATTAAAATAACCTCACAAAATTAATTAAATTTCTGGATGAGTTACTGAGGCAGCTAGTATTTTCCTCCTCAAAATTCTTTTCAAATAGCACCTGATAATTTTTAGTATCTTTCAATAAGAATAATTTGCCTAAAATTGAAGAATGGGTTAAATAGCCTTATCTAATGAAAAGAGAGACCAAGGGACAGACATACAACACAGAGGAAACTCTAGACTACAGAATGAAGGAAATAGAGCTTACCTGTCATTTACCTGGTTGAAACAGTTCTTTTTTTAAACATTTACCTCCTACATAAACCTGCTGTTTTGCTTCCTGTTTTACTGTAATCTAATTTATATCAGAAGTCTTGTCTCTTAAAGATGGCTATTTTTAAAGCATGTAGGTAGCACATAAAATTTTTCCTAATTTTGAATGGCATATCAAAAGTATTTATTTCAAACTGGGGACAAGGAGAGCAGGAAAAGAAAACAATATGAAATTATCAAATAAAGATAAATGCTATAATTGGTAATTCTTCTAAGTATATATTTAAGAAACACACATTTATGAACAGGACAGTGATGCCAGAAAGCTAAAAAATAAGCTTACAAATGAGAAATTCAGGGCAGCCATATCCCTGGTACCATTAGTATTTTCTTAGCGTAATTCTGAATAATTAGACCCAACTGGTTTACTCCTCAGGGCCTGCCTATAACCTCAGCCTATTTGGATTTTATAAATGTATTTTCTGAGGAAAACAAAAATTTCAGTGCCAAGGCAATTCCAATAAAAATCCCAACTAACCCTTTTAGTAGAAATTGATAGGCAGATTCCAAAATTTATATGAAAAAAAAGAAGCTAGAATAGCCAAAATTATTTTGAAAAAAAAAAAAAAGTACAAAATAATTTACCTTGGTATTTATTACCATACTTCACCCCACTGTGTTAACGATGGGCTACTAACTTGCATATTCAAGCAGTTTTCTTTTGGAGTGATAATGAATT